TGTCTGTCATCCGTCAGGTTGGTCATCCCGTTAACAACATGATCCTTATTAAGTTTTAAACCGCATTTTCTAATCGAAGTGGATATGTTTTGTAATATCGGAGAGTTATTTCCAAACATTATTCAATATAGGTATTTTTAATTGCTCCCATATAAATGTTGCATTTAATTTTCGATATGTTGAAGTTCCTATTCCAGTTTTTCATCCTTGGTGTTACCGATGGATTTAAGGAATTTTCAATGCACAGCACGTGGTGGAGGGTTTAAAAAGTTCTGCCCGGCCAAATCTAACGTCGATTACATTGTTTTGGACCCATGTTACACCCACCAAAGATTGTCAATACAAAATTAGGATTTTCAGTTTGTAGAAACAATCTCATTAAAAAATGCTGACATTTATGTTATTTCAGAATTTCTTTGGGAAAAACTACCGGTATATTTAATTACCTACTTAGCTGGCTTATGAATGAACGGTTGTTCCATAAGCCGATTTAAAAAAAAAGATTTCCGTACTAAGTTCGTACTTTTGCTCCACTCTTCCAATTTGAAACACAATTTTCCTAGAAGTGATCTTCTACTTAATATTTTCATCGAATTCGTGACCTTCCTCTTCTGCGTGAAGCATCACTTGGCTCTCACAACATGACCAAGCCAGTGTAGTCGCTGCCGCTCGATACGTCTGACTATGTCGAAGTCAGAGAATATATGGTATAGCTCATGGTTCATTCGACGGCGATATTCACCGTCGACGCAGATCGGCCCATAGATCTTCTGGAGAATTTTTCATGCTTCAAATTCATACAACAGCACGGGTAATATCAGCGTCTTGTAGAGTATGAGTTTGGTATGGCGAAAAATGGCCTTGCTTTTTAGTTGCTTACTCAGACCATAGTAGCATCTGTTGGCCAACACTATTCCGGATTTCAAAGCTGATGTTAGTTAGTTTTGTTTATGCCGTTACCGAGCTATGTAAAATCGTTCACTACCTCGAAGCTGTAGTTTTCAATTTCCACAGTTGGTCCGAGTCTACTGGACGTCTTGCGCGTTGATACCATCAGCTTGGTATTTTCGCCATTTACTGCCAGTCCCACTTTGACAGACTCCTTCTCAATTCGTTCATTATGTCGATGTCATCGGCGTAGGTGAGTAACATATGCTGTTTGGTGTACAGAGTGTCATTTTTGTTCACATTTGCATATTGTATGACCTTTTCAAGCAGAATGTTAAACAGGTCACACGACAAACTGTCACCTTGTCTGAATCCTCTTTCCTTATTGAAGGGCTCCGAAAGGTCCTTTCCTAGTTTAACTGCTGACTTTGTATCAGTTAAAGTTATCCTACATACTTTTCTGAAACTACGTTTCTCCTCTCTCATTTTCTTCGGATAATTCTCCATCGCAGTACGTTTTGCTACTGTACGATACGTTTTACACATCAGTAGCATTACGACACTCCTGATCGTACCATGAGTTTCTTGATGGTGGTTTTTGGTACCCAATTGTTGCTTGTTGCAGTTAGCAAGGAGTGGGCAATTCTTGGTCATTGTGCTTCTATATTATTATCGAGACAAGGAGTGCTTTCGTCAAGCAAGTGGGTAAGTTAGGCGGAGTAGGCTTCTGTTATCTGTTGTGTCTGTAGCTTTTCGACGTCGAGTTCCCGAGTTACATTAGATCGCACTTTTGCTGTTACAATTATACGGATGCCGGAACCTTGGCAGCCACAAGATAATCGATCGATCGAACGTCTAAAACACTGGACAAATGCAGGTGGCTTTGTGTATATCGAGATGCTTGAATCTGGTGCTGCTAACTACCATGTTTTTGCTGCCGCGAAGTCAATCCAACGGTTGTTGCATGTTTTTCATGGAGGTAGAATTTTCCGACGGTGGGGCCAAAAATATTTTCCATTCCGATGTTTGCATTGGCCAGGGCAGCGGTCATATTGATGTTTCTCGGCGCTCGTAAAATATGTCTTTGGTCTGTTCATCCCTATACGACAATTATTGATATTTTTGAGAATAAGATTTGTCAGTCAAAGAGAGAACAAAGAACCCAATTACAGCCAATTCGGTTGAAAAACGTGTCATAAATACTCATATTGGGGAGTACCGTATTATGGGGGCTACCCTGAAATGTGGGTCAATAATTTTTGGTACGGTTTCCAAGCTTTATCTTAAATACCTATCTAATATCTACCTCTATCAAAATTTCATTATGGACACCATTAGATATTTTCAGAACTTCAATCATCATCTTCTCACGTATTTTTCGATGTGTTCAAAGTTCTATCATAACATGAGTTTTCTCCTAGGAGCCCCATTAATATGATGAATCCCTGCATCCTCCCTCATGGTGGAGGGCGTAGGGCCATCGTTTTTACTTGTTTTCATTATCATTGATCTCAAAATATTGAATTTTTCTTAAAATGTCAAAGGCTTGTCTCTTATTGGAAAATCCTGTCTGCTATATGTTGGTGTACCTACCTGAATATGTGTCGTTGGGATTTTTCTCCTATGTATTATTATCATTTATACTAATTACACAATTAACACTTGGATATCCCTATTTTCGGATTTATTTTACTTGATCAATTTGTAATGTACATTGATAAAATATGATGATAGAAAGTCTATTCAAACGAATTACGAATATCTAGGTAGATCACATGCCTTCAGTCAAATCGATTGAGGAATATTTTTGTTAAAAATATTCTCCTTCTATATCGAGTCATTGTGCTTTATTTTTGTCCTCATTTTCTTGAACCGTAATTTTAATACCACAAGACGAACTTTGTTGACTTCCAACTATTCTACAAAAGTGTCGCTCTTGATTTTTAATATGGGGCCTCCAAAGACATGATATCGAATTTCGCGTGTTTTTATCCCTTACCACTATTACTCGATATTGGGCAGAAAAACTTTTATATCTCGAACACTAATGAACACTAACTTTGCGACAAACTGTCGGATTCATCATATTAACTATAAATACACCTCATTATTCTAAACACGTTAATAAGATTCATTCATCGCTCTGGATTGCTAATCCGTTTTCCGATTTTTATACACTCAGCCATATGGCTAATAAAGGTATATACACTTTGATACAGTGGAAATGTGCCTCGCCGAAATATTGGTTTTAGACCCCATGTTTCTTTGAACCAAATGCGTTTCTGTTGTGTCTGTCTGGCTGGCTGGTTCCAAAATTGGTTTAAATTCGAAGTTTGGAAATATCGGTCCACTCCTTCTGCTAACATGCAAACGGACTATCCGATTTTAAACAAACTTTGCACAACTTATAACCTTTACCAAGCCCGGATGAAGTATGAAGATTGGTCCATTCTTTCTGGTACCAAGCCTATATCAAGTCCGAAAATGGTCCGCCCTTTCTGGTACCTCCCACACAAATGCTCTAAATTTTGTGTGGGAGGTACCAGAAATGAATATTATGAATATAATATCAGGCGAAAGGAATATCCGATTTGAATAAACCTTTGCACAACCTATTATCTTTACCAAGTCTAGTTCAAGTCCGAAGATGGGACCCATTGGTCCACTCTTTTTGGCATATCCCCCACAAAGCGACAACATTTTCAATATTTATAAATCCAATATTAAGCGAAAGGAATGCCCGATTTGAACCAAATGTTGCACAATCTATTATCTTAACCAAACCTTCATAAAGTCCGAAGATGTGACCTGTCTCTCTCCGCAGGTACAACCTACAAAAAGGGTCAATATTATATATGTGTTAAAAATAAAATCCGAAAGATCTTTAATTAAACATATACTTTATATAAAACGATTAATAAAGCCTGTGTATAACCCCGAAGACCTCGTTCGCAAGCCATAGGATGAGGGTATATATCTGTCGGCAACGCCGACTAAATCTTTTTACTTGTGGTACCGTATTTAAAGAACCAATGGAATTTATATGGCATATCATTTGGAAACTAACAACATTATTAATCACATAGAATAAATTGTCTGGATAAAATGGATCTGGTTTTTATGACTTCAAAATATATACTGGTTATATTGTTCTATTACCGATTTCACCAAACAATTATGCATTTTAGGACAGCCCCATTTTGCTCCATGTTGAACAGTTATTCGAATTAAGTCCCTGGTTTGTGCAATATCTCTTTTCATTTTGTCATTTTCCAATTTAACAGCAAGTTGTCCCATATTCAGACTCATGATATACCAAAACAATTTTTATCGATTAAAAGGCAAATATTATTTCTCTGCATTACGCAGTAGCTGACTTCTCGAAAGGCATATAATTTATGCCTTTGAAGAAAAAAAATAGATAATCTAAAAGTGTTTCTATGTATATTCATATTAAAAAAATCCAATTAGTTCGAATTATTATAGGGGAAATCTTTTTGTTTTACTTTGGTTACAAATCCACATCATCTGTATTCTCATTTATAAGTGACCTGCAAAAGTCAAAATGCAAAAGAAAAAAGACAAACCATCTCATAATTGATAAATTCCATTTGTGCACAGTCATTATACGGGTATCCTTATACATACACGTAGCTGTGACAAAAGGGGCACACACATACACACCAACAAACATCTGACGTTTGGTAGTAGGGGAAAATTCATGCAATCCATATTAGATTGAGTGTATCTTTTACAGTCGACATGCAAATTGTATTGGAAAATCTGCATTCACATCCAGACAATCCCGTCTGTGTGGTCGTATCAATTTCCACAGGAAATACCTTTTACAAATTCCGATTGTAAAACATACAAAGACAGATGGATAGATATAATGGGAAAATGGCCAAGGCAAGAGGCAGACAAACCAGCCAACCAACCAACAAACTGATAGCAGGGGGAATTCCTTCTAACTAAACACCACAAAATTTATGGCACATGTGACAAACACACCTACACACACTCACATCATTGGCATACCTACTTACAAACAAATTGATTTAGGAAATCAAAGCCAATGATACTGGTCTTACCTGTCAACTGAATATAAATAGAATTGACACCAGGCATGGTGCACTTCATACGTCTGACATATTGAAGCCAGTGATAATGTCATCATCCCAGTGCTATAACACGTCTCGTTCAGCATTAATTTTATATTTTGCATTATTTGTATTCGTTGGCAAGTGCTCGGCCGGTAGACAAAGGATATGTGGATCAGCATTGACCGATGTATTGGCATCGGTGTGTGTGAACGGTTTCAATTATCGCATAAAAAGATGTCGTAAGTACGGAATACAAATAAGTGAATAATGAATTTCTATGCAAAGTGTGAGTGATATTGCAGTTGTGAATGCATATGTGTATATTTGTTTAAATTCATTTAGTTCATTTGCAAAACTATTCGCAGTTGTTGTATATAATAATTTTAAATAGTTATCACCACGTCAAAAGACCCATATTTTATAAAATATTTTTCCAACAAAACCAGATGTCGTTTTCTAATCAACTGAGAAGACATACTCCAACCCAGCTTCAGTCCTTCTTAATGTACAACTTATTCGAAATCTTGTAGTGATCGTATATACGATTTTCTAAACATGCATCGGTTAAATGTGGAAAGAACGACATAAATGTCCTAATATCGATTTCTTGTCTTTGGGGACCTCATTTAGATGCCAATAAATCTCCTCTTGTGGTAATTAGTTTACAGATCAAGAAAATAATGGCGATAATTAGGCACAAGGAGTCGAGATTGAAGGATGATATGCATTTCAAAAATAATTCCAAATTCGATTTGACTGAAATTATGTGATCTGGTCCGGCCGAACTTGAAATTTTCAAAATATATAATAGTGGGGCTACCCTTATATTGGGCTATAATAAAACGGAGATCAGTATTTATGTTTTTGGGTAATGAGGTTTGAGAGCCAATGAGAATACAAAATACCAAAGTACAGCCAATTCGGTTAGAAACGTGTCCAATATTCTCTGAATAACGACTCAGGCCAATATTAACCAATTAGAAAAAATCGGACGGGGCCGACTATATGATACACGTCACCACTTTGGGTAAATACAAGAGATATTTATTTGTACAAAATCCTTTAAATAGAATAGACATAGCATCTCTGGAGGACCATAGAAATGGAATCAGGCGAAATTAACTGTGTGAAGTTATAGATATTTGAACTAAATAAAAATTTAATGTCAATCATCTAGCAAAATATGTAAAAGATCTATATATAAATGGACGTATTTGAGCAACCGTGGCATCGAACATTTGTTATGCGGCAACACTATGCGATATACAAAATTTATCTCAACACAAAATCCAATACAAGGTATTCTAGGTTCGATTTGGTACTTTGTGCACTAAATCGTCCTATGCGGACAAATTTTAGTTATTTGGTACATCATTTTGATGAAACCGGATGAAAATATGTATGGAAACTATATCTTAATCTAAAACGTGTTCATCCACTACGCTATGCAATATTTTATGTAAAGCGAACAAACAACGGCTCCTCCATTTGCATAAAAACGGAGAGCAATATATGAGGGAGCTATATCTACATCTTAACCGATTTCTTCAAGAAAATATCGTGCAAATAGAACTGGTTCTACGGTGCACCATTTACATAAAGTGAGACTAAGGAATATATGTGAGCTATATTTAAATCTGAACCGATTTCAAACTTAACAAACAGCATTCTTGACTAAATTCCATATTCGTTGTTAAATTTCCTGAGTATAGAACAAATATAGACTCCTCGGTGCGCCATTTACCTTAAATCGGACGAAACTATATATGGGAGCTATATCTAAATCTGAACCGATTTCAACCAAACTTGGCATATATCAATCTAGGCCTAATACAGTGCTCTGTGCAAAATTTTATCTCAATCGGACCAGTATTCGGAGTTTGGTGCACCATTGACCAAAAGTCAAACGAAACTATATATGGGAGCTATATCTAAATCTTAATCGATTTTCTCCAATTTCAATAGAGTTCGTCCTTGGGCCAAATAAGTGACATGTGACAAATTTTATCCAAATCGGATCATAAATGCGACCTATACTTTGTTCACAAAAATACATGGACGGACATACGGACGGACGGATAGACGGTCATGCATAAATCGACTCGGAAAATGATTCCATGCATATTCTCAAAAGGAACCATGGGTCTATATCGTTTCCTTTTGCCTGTTAAAATTCTGAAAATACCCCAGCAAAGTGAAGAGTATAAAAATGTTTAGTGAAGAGATTTGGTGGTACCGTTGTTGTGAGAACACATAATACCAATTTGATTGAAAAACTTGTCAAAAATCACAATATTGGAGGGTACCATATTGTGGGTACTATCCTTAAACGTGGCTCAATATTAAACATGGGTTTTACAATGAAAACCCAAAATACAAAATTAAAGTCAATTCGGATAGAAAACGTGTACAAAATCCCCAAAATATTGAATTTTGTGAGGGGTATCGTTATATGGGAGCTACCCTGAAACTTTGGTCAATATTAATAATTTTTTGGTACATAGATGTGCTATACAATGAGAACCCAAAATACCTAATTACAGCTAATTCGGTGGAAAAACGTGTCAAAAATCCTTAAAATACCAAATATTGGGGGAAATGTGGGGACTATCCTAAATATTGGCTCAACATTAATAGCTTTTGGTACGGATGTGTGTTATTCAATGACAACCAAAAATACCAAATCCGCTAATACCGAATATTGGGGGTACCGTTATATGGGGGCAACCCTGGAAATTGGGTTAATATTATTATTTTTTGGTGTGGATATGTGTTATTCAATAAGAACCTAGAATACCAAATTTCCATCAAATCGGTTGGAAAACCAGTCAAAAATCCCTAAAATATCGAATATTGGGGGTACACCAAAACGTAAACCTATATATATCGACGCCTCCGAACCATAGTATGCTAAGTCTGAAAAGTGAGTTTTTCAGTAGAAGCTCTCTAAGTATGGAAGTTTCATATATCTTACGGGCCGTGCTAAGTACATTTTTGCTTATAACTTTGGTTTGGATCGGCCGATGGTTACCAACATTTCAGAGAATATAAATTAAGGACCGTATTATCTAAAAACATAAAGAACTTTAAAACATGCTAAGTCGACTTAGCATACTATGGTTCGGAGGCGTCGATATCCCATCTGCAACCCCAAACATCCTAGCAATGTCTGTGCAAAATTTCAGAGCTCTATCTTAAATATTGCGATGTCTATCGTCATTTCAAGAGACGGACAGGCATGCGTATTTAGATTTTAGGTATTTTGAAGACCCTGAAATTCATGGTGGAAGATATAACCTATGTCGATTTTTCCTTATGGGAATTTGCCCACCCCAGGCCATGACCCGATTTTGTGTTGCAGTGTATATATTCGGTTTTAAGAAATTCTTCAATGTATGTATATATTTTGAGGGGTTTTGGGAGCGCCAGACTTATTATGTATATATATATATATATATACATATATACTGTCAAAGGTCAATGTCGGCCCATATTGTGACATAGTATTACCCACTATGATGATATAACGATTTTAGATATTTTAAAGGCACATCACATCGTAGAGAGTATAAGAGGATCAGCACGGCCGAGCTAATGTTCATATTGATCGGACAGTATAGTCACATTTCCGCATCCTGAAAACGCAAGAAAAATATATAGAACCTGGGTCTAAATACACGAGTAGTACCACATTTAAGCATTATTAAGTAGTTAAGGCAATATGTATGTTGAGTACAAAAATACATTGATTGTTCGGATGGGACAGTTATTCTAAATTTTAGTAGATACTGATTAGGAGGAACTTCTAACGTCAATTTTTAGAAAATATGTTTAGAATATTGGACGTATAATCTATATATATAAAAATTAATTGCTGTTCGTTAGTCTCGCTAAAACTCGGGAACGGCTGAACGGATTTTTTTTATCTTAGTCTTGAAGTGTTCGTGGAGCTTCAGGGAAGGTTTAAAAGGTGAGAAAAAATCGAAAACCGCGAAAAATGTGCAAAAATGTATATTTAAGCATATTTGCATTTCCACGAATTTAGTATCGAGCTATTTTGATTGCACCACGTTGTAGTTGTTATTTTGAGATATTTCTTTTAAGCCGTTATTTGTCAATTATTGAAACATTTCAAAATATTTTATTTTTATACCCTACACAACTATGTTGTCAGGGTATTATAGCTTTGTGCAGCCCCAAATGTTTGTAACGCCGCGAAATATTGGTCCTTTAAGTATACCGATCGTCATATCTCGACTAGCTGAGTCGATCTAGACATGTGTGTCCGTCCGTCCGTCCGTCCGTCTGTCCATTATAATTTGTAAACACGATACAGGCCACAGTTATGGACCAATCTTCACGAAATTTTGCATGTAGGATGGGTTCTGGCCAATGAAGATCGGTTAATATTTAGGGGATGAAATGGACCAAATACTAAATTTTTGTCGGTTTTTCTGGTCGCTCCAGAGGCCGCAATTATGGCCCAAACACCGCGAAATTTTGCATGGAGAAGGGGATCGGGCCAAAGAATAAGCATGCATGTTTTGATAAAGATCGGTCAATATTTAGCGGGTCAAATGGACCCTGACTTTTGTGTGAAAAATGGCAAAATTTGTATTCTATGGCTATATATTTACTCCTGGAGGATGTAGACCCCAGGAGTTGATAGCATATCCAAGAGGAGTGGTTGGCCTTTAAATTGATACCAAATATAGTGATGTATCTACTCAGATGTGGGAGTTACAGTCAAATATTTACAGGTGCTTACGTATTCAGATATTATTTAGTAACCCATTACCACATTAGAGGGAGAAATATCGCGCTGATGGCTTTGAAATTTTTCATGAAGTTCCAGTTATAGTCAAGAACAACGCCTACAATTTTCGGTGATGATCAGGATACAATTTTGGGATGAAATGGACGGAAAACACAATTTTTTGTGTGTTTTCGAGTAGAGTATAATCCGAAAATCACAACACAACCCACCGTGAAGGTAATCTGGACAAGTAATTAGAAGGACTGTACTGAATATTCGAAAAAAGTAAGAAAGAGGTGTTGTTGACCTCTAATCGGACAACATGGGGCAAATATCACGAAATACTACTCAGACTCAGAATAAACATCCTCAGAAAGTTAGAGTTCGTGGTAGTTGTGTAGGGTATCGTATGGTCGGCCCCGTCCGACTATACTGCTCCGCTCACTGGTTTTAATTGGATTGTCATTATATTTTTTTTGGGATTACAGAAAATAATTTAGATGTATATCATTGAATGCACACACGATCATTGTATGTACACGTTTTTCCCAGAATGCACGTATATTTTGGGACTAATGCAAGGATGGAAAATCAGAAGCCATTCTGAATCGAGTTCGTGTCTATTCAGGGTATTCTGATTTTAAGATCCATGTCCTAAATTAATTTGTTTGAAAATAATAATAATAGGAACATGTTGTTCCTTAAAGTACCTGAAATGTTGCAATGCCACGGGAAATATGAAATAAGGTGGTTATATGCCTAATTGTTTTTCAATATATTTGAAGTTATAAACAGAACACCTCGAGTATATCCAATACCAAAAATGTGTATCACAGAGAAAACTAATAAATGAGATATTTTCTTTGCAAAAATCTATAATTAAGCTCAGATGGAAAGAGAACAACTAACAAAACAAATATTAGAAAAAATAGCCAAGACATAATATCTAATTTGAAGGTTATACCAAAATCTCCGTCCGATGCTATTTATTCGTTCGAAATACCGATAACACTCAGGTTGTAAATAATTATGAAGTCTTTTTACGTTAAGCTACATTGCATAATTTCTGGAATGATGTTTTTATTCACAGGAATTCTTTATGCCTAATTATAGACAACTCTATGAGAAAATTCGGTCAATGTCCTTAGAATACCGAAAATGGGGCGAGACCTGTATGTAGATGCTATATCAAAACTTAGACCTAAGTAGATAATAATCTAGATAGATAATCGCAAAAATATATCTCACCAACAATATCCTGGTATGAACTATTTTAAATATTACAGTGGGAATGGAGATATATTAATTTTTGGTAGGAAGATTTGACACACATGAGAACTTATGGGGGATACCATTATATGGGTACTACCCATAAACTTGGACTAATATTGATAGTTCTTTGTAAGGAGATTTTGTACTAACTGATCATTTAAAATAAAAACTTACAGCCAATTTGGTTGGAACACGTGATCAAACCCCCCAAAATACAGAATAGTGGACCAATAATGACAATTTTTAGTAGGATTCATGCTGCCAAATAAGACAACCAATTACAGCTAATTAGGTTGAAAATCGTGCCCAAATCCAATGCCAATGTGAAGTGACATTATATGGAGACTTTTCAGAAGATTGTGCGAATTTTGTTAGGAACATTTTCTACTCATTAACTATCCAAAATATAAAATTACAGCCAAATACGAAATATTAAGGGGTTACCCGGTGACTTGGGCCAATATGGACAATGTAGAGAGACTTTCTGTTCAATAAGTATCCCTTATATTAAATTAAAAGCAATTCTGTTGAAAACCGTTCCCAAGATCTTCAAAACACTGAATGTTTGGGGATACCATTATATGGGCGGTACCCCGAAACATTTGCCAATATTGATAATATTTGGTACGGACACTTTCTGTTCACTTGAAAAAATCGTCAAAATTTCTCATATTGCGACGTTGCTTGGGGCTTTCCTAAATAGTGAACTAATATTGAACATTTTCAACACTAAATATCCTAGGAGTAGTATCAATTTATGTGCCAATTTTAGAGCATTATCTTTAATCGTGAAGGGTAGAAAAAACTAACTTAATATTGGACTATCGTTATGTGAAATATACATCAAAAATATTGCTATGCAAGACAACGTTTGCCGGGCCCGCTAGTATATATATATATATATATATAACACCACTCGATGTCGTTTGCACGACAGAGGGTCTACGATCCGAAACGACCCGAGTCTTAATCGGCCAACATCTGTCACCCGAACCCTTTTTGTAAAAACAATAGATTTGCTACATCAAAAACCTCACGATGTTATATTTCTTCAAAAGCTTAATTAAGTTTTAGTTTCATGATCAATCACCATTTTCACATCATCAAAATATGTATTTTTTCTTTCATTTCTTTTAGTGGAAATAGAATATGAAGCTTCAAAAACATCACCGCCGGACGATAGCTGGTATTATCGTGTTAAGGATATTCTACGTAAGCTTGAACCGCAATCGAATGAAAATAACGGTAAAGTCTATATAGAAATTAGTTCGCATACGGAGACGACCCACAAGGTAGTAATACGCAAACGCAGGCAAACGGAAATAATGCGTCCCCGTGGCGTTGCCGATGAATGCTGTACCAATGGCTGTGTTTATGCCGATATTTTAATGTATTGTGCATAAAAAATATATACTTCTTTTTATTCAATTATTCTCAATCATCTACACTTTGATACATTTAAACATTTTTTTAATAAAAGCATGAATAAATCTATATCAGAAATTCGATTCAACAATTCCTATGAAATTTTCAAATTACTTTGAAAAATGAATATTTGTTAGGCATATTTATTTTTTTTAATCCAAACAATCTTTAAATCAAATTATTTGTATTTTTCTTGAATATTGGAGAAATATACAAATTATCCATTCGAACTAAGCACCTGTGAATACATATTCAATATAAAAGTGGCATGAAAAAAAATCCTATAATTTGAAAGTAAACACCAGTATATATGATGCCCTTCACCACATTGGGTACACACAAGAGATGCTCATATGTACAATATCCTTTAGATAGAATAGACATATCATCTTTGGAGGACCATTGAAATGGAATCTAACGAAATAAACTGCATGACGTTGTAGATATTTGAACTAAATTAAAATAACCCATACAAATACAATCTGATATCTATGAAAAATTTAATGTCAATCATCGAGCAAAATATGTATAAGAGCTATATATATGAATGGCATCCACCATTTGGTATGCTGCAACACTATGCGCTATCCAAAATTTATCTCGATACAAAGTCCATTACAGGTTATTCTAGATTCGATTTGATACGTTGTGCACTAATTCGTCCTAAGCGGACAAACTTTTGTTAATTAGTACATCATTTTGATGAAATCGGATGAAATAATATATGGAAGCTATATTTGAACTTGGAACATCTTCAATCCAATACACTATGCAATATTTCATGTAAAGCGAACAGACATAAGCTCCTCCATTTGCATAAAATCGGATTAACGTATATATGTGAGCTATATTTAAATCTGAACCGATTTCAAACATAACCAAATCATTCTAGACTAAATTCAATATGCGCTGCAAAATTTCGTGAATATAGAACATAGACTCCTCGGAGCGCCATTTACAAAAAATCGGACGAAAATGTATATGGGGGCTATATCTAAATCTGAACCGATACCAATAAAACATCACATACATCAATCTGGACCTAATTCAGTACTCTGTGCAAAATTTGATTTCAATCGGAAAAATATTGGAAGATTGGTGCACCATTTATTAACAATCGGACGAAACTATATATGGGAGCTATATCTAAATCTGAACCGATTTTTACGGAACTTTGCATATATTAGTCTAGGCTGAATTCAGTACGCTGTGAAACAAATTTCGTGCAAATCGGAAGATTTATAGAAACTTGCGTGCACCATTTACATAAAATCGGACGAAAATATATATGGGAGCTATATCCAAATCTGAACCGATTTTCACGAAACTTAACACACATCATTCTAGGCTTAATTCACTATGCTGTTCTAAATTTTGTGTATATCGAAAGATATATAGGGACTTTGGTGCACCATTTACCTTAAATCGGACTATGCCAAATTTCATCCAATTCGAATCATAAATGCAACCTGTACTTTGTTTACAATTTAACATGGACAGAAAGACGGACGGACGAGCATGCACAAATCGACTTAGAAAGTGATTCTATGCATAGTGATTCTAAGGAACCACGTGTCAATCTCATTTCCTTTTTCCTGTTACAAACATATGCACAAAGACATAATACCCTGTACAACAGTGTTGTGAAGGGTATAATCAATTAAAAAAAAATAAAGAGAAAAGAGCCAACATCAAAGTTTGAAAGACCAACACAACTTTGAGAATGTGAATTGACATGAAATCGATAAAGTGACATATATAATTTTGATATGACTGTTTATCGTCAATTTGATTTGAAAACGTGTCCAAATTTCGAAAACTCCGAATATAGGGTGGGTACCGTTATATGGGGGCTACGCGGAAACTTGGGTCAATATTAATAATGTCTGGTACGGATATGTGTTTTTAAATAACAACCTAAACACGTGTCTAATATCTCCTAAATACCAAGTAAACTTTGGTCAATATTAATAATGTTAACCCAAATTCCAAAATGACAAATTTAATATACACTTCTCACCTTATGGTGGAGGGTATAAAAAGTGGATCAATATTGATAATTTTTTGTATGAAGATATTTTTCCTAAGAAACCCCAAAATGTCAAATTACACCCAATTCGTTGAAAAAACGTTATTATAGTTCCCAAAATACTGAAAATTGGAATACTAAGTTTTGGTAGAAAGATGTTTTACCCAATTTGAATTGAAAATATCAAACTCAAGTCAATTCGGTTGAAAATACCGTAATTTGGAAGGTAACGTTATTTGGGGGCTATACTAAATAAAGGACCAGCATTGAGAAATTTGATTTCAAAGGCCCTTTATGCCAAAATACAACCACATCGGTGGAAAAGTTCAACTAAAGCCTTCAAAATACCGAAAATGCCGTGTTATCGCCATATGGGAGTTTCACCAAAATGTAGAACTAGATTGATAACTTTTGGAAGGAAGCTTTGACAATCCACGAGAATCTGAAACATTAAATTATAGTCAATTCGATTGAAAAACATATCAAAACCGCCAAAATATCGAAAAATGGAGAGTACCATTGTATGGGGAATAAGAATTCAAAATATAAAATTGCAGCCAAATTTGGTGAAATACGTGAAGGTGGTCATACTCCCCAAAATACCGGAATTTGGGAGCTTACGTTATTTTGCGGGCTATACGAAACAATGGACCAGTATTGAGTAATTTTATACCCAATTTGAGTTGAAAGTTATACAACATGTCGTCAACATTAGGCCAAACTTTGAAAATTTGATGCACCATTTATATAAAATATATGACAGATTTATATAAATCTGAAACGATTACAAGCAAACTTTATCTACCTCAATTATTTACCCTTAATTTGAACCGATTTTCATCAATTTAATAGGGTTTGTCAAGGGGCCGAATAAATGTAACATTTTAAATTTTCCATGCTCATATAAATGCGACCTGCAAATGTTCATAGAGCCTTTAAAAGTCCACTATCCTTAATATCTAACTATGGGTCACATTTGCAAAAAAATACGTCCCTTAATATTTTTATACCCTATATACCCGGCTCAAGCTCAGAATATAGAACGACAGAAAGTTATAGTTTCGTGGAAGTTGTGTAGGGTATCATATGGTCGGCCCCGTCCGACTATACTGCTCCGCTCACTGGTTGTTATTTATTTACCTGTTATCACACGAGTGAATATTGTTTATGTTTTTATCGATGTAAACAAATAATAATTATTTCCAAGAAACTAATGTTTATTTACCATACAAATAAGGGGTTAGTTACTGTATATACTAGCAAAAATACGAGAAGTAAACAAAAATGTTGATGCAATATATTGAAATAAATATTTGCCATTAAGAAGTAGATATAAATCGGACAGGCCCGATGATACGATAACGTTGTGTATATGCCAGAGTGCCGGCAGTATATATATTATAGTTCATAATAAATAATATACTCTGTAGATTTAAAACCCCTACAAGTCCATACGCCTGTATCGGAACTTGTACAAAACATAACAAAAGTTTTTCCATATTGAATTTGGTTGATCAATTTTTCCTTTAGCTATGACATTATTTGTTGCTATCATATTGCATAATGTCAGCATATGCCATTAAATAGTATACCGAACCCCTTTGCATACTGCAACACGTGCGCCCACATATAATTTATATTGGAAAACACTTGCCGATTAATGTCTGCAGATTTTCATATAAATTAAACGAAATTGCTACGACGAAAAATCAGTGCATGTTCAACAACTATTTCATGACAGTCAGCTACAATGGAAATTTTTAAATTATGCCTTCTATGGGTAATTTTGTACCAGCGCACTATTAATGGCCATCCACGTTTGTGTGGTGTTAGCTTAGATAACGCCATCTTAGACATATGTGGACCCATGGGATTTAATACCAAATTAAAAAGATCAAACGGTGAGTATTTTGCGAATATTAATTTGAGTTTTTTATTTAAATCCTTTTGTACGCATAGTTCCATTGATTGTCACCTCGGATTTAAGCGAACCCATACTTGAACCCATAACACTTTGGTCGAATATATTTCTAAATGAAGAGGTAAATTTTTTGGCAAAACTTCGTAGACGTCGCCGTGGTATAGTCGATGAATGTTGCAGTAAGAAAGGTTGTTCGTACAATGAATTATTATCATATTGCCGATTACAAAATACCGAACAAGAAATTGACCGAAGCAGTTTGTAACTTTTAAAATTATGTTATTATAACGAAATAAATGATCAGTTCGTATATATCTTAATGAATAATAAAATAATTTCATAATTCAATTTTAAATGTTGATTATTTTCAATGGGTTGGAGCATAAACTATTTAAAAGATTTATAACTGCGCATACATAATATATTATGAGGAAAAATTTTGATATATTTTTTATTATGTTGGTTGATTTAACAAATGCTCTTACGAAATCCAAAAAGTCGACTATATAGAAAGTAAAAGGTTGTTAAGTTCGCCCAAGCCGAACATTTATACTCCCAAACATGTGGTGTACATTCAAAGTTCCTTAAATCGGTCGGGACCTTCTTACGGGGAATATTTTCTTGTAGAAAGTTGTTCATGCTCCCAAAAAAAATCAGGTTGGAAAACTGGGGATAGGAACTTCAATATACCGAAAATGAAACTAAACTATTTTAAAATATTAACCTATATTGACTAATTTTGGGAAAGAAGTTTTTTATTCACCAGGAATGCGATATGGCAAATTATAGCCAATTCAATGAGAAGATTCGCTTAAAAATGTATGGACCCATATTGATAATTTGTTATATAAATATATCAACCTTCAAAGGCCCTTTATGCCAAATTACAACCACATCGGTAGGAAAGTGCGACCAACACCTTCAAAATATCGAAAATGGAGTGGTATCGCTATATGAGAGGTACACCAAAATGTATTGATAATTTTTGGAAGAAATATTTGACAACCCATGAGAACCTGAAAAATTAAATTGGAGCCAATTCGATTGAGAAACATGTAAAAACTCCCCAAAATATCGAATAATAGAGGGTACCATTGTAAGCTACTTGAAATAAAAATTCAAAATATAAAATTGCAGCCAATTATGGTGAAACACAATTGGGGGGCTACCCTAGAAAGTGGATATATATTGGTAATTTTTAGTAGGACGATGTTCTACCCCGTGAGTACCCAAACGCTTCAAAACACAGAATATTGGGTTTTATTGGTATGGGATTTAACTCGAAAAGTGGACCAATATTGTGCAAAATCTCAAATCGCAATCTTAAGTGCTGCGATTTCTATAGTGATTTCAACGGTTGAGACAGATTTTATTCTAATCTCATATATAATATATTCGAAAAAGAAATTCTTATAAAATATTTATGCAAATAAAGCTAAAACGATGTCCGAACATTTCATACCCACCATCATGAGGATGGCATTCAAAATATGTAAAATTAATAGGGTGGTCCTAAGAGAAAACTCGTGTTATAATAGGACGTTGAACATACCGAAAAACAGGTGAGAAAAAGGTGATTGAAATTCTCAAAAAAAATTATAGAGGGGCTACCGTTATATGGGACAACACTCAAACTTGGTTCAATATTAATAATTTTGTAGTAGAACGATGTGCTATACAAAAAGAATCCAGAATACAAAATTATAGTAAATTCGCTGAAAAACGTGTCCAAAATCGTCAAAATACTAAATATTGGGAGATACTGTTATATGGAGACTATCCGGAAAGTTGGAGCAATATTAATAGTTTTTGGTATAGACATATGCTATAAAATAAAATCCCAAAATACAAAATTATAGCCAATTAGGTTGAAAAAAAAAAATATGGCTCAGAGATGTGCTATTCAATGAAAACTCAAAATACCAAATTACAACCAAATCGGTTGAAAAACGTGTTCAAAATCCCTAGAAAACCGAGTATAGGGGGTTGCCGTTATATGGGGGCTACCCGAAATGTTGGGTCAATAATAATAGTTTTGGTACGGACTTGTGTTATACAATGAGAACCCAAAATACAAAATTATATATATATATATATACTTTTTGGGGTCTCCGCTGAATAGTTCGAGGTGTTGAAAACGGAATGACAAATAAACTGCAACGTATTTAACTTCGCCGGGCCAAGCTTTTGATATGTCCATAATTAAGTTATTTTTACCCACTAAGAATCTTTCAAACGAAGTAGGAAATATGCTTCCAAAAAAATCTTCACAATACCTAAAATGTTGGTGAGACCATTTCAGAGAATATGACAAAAGGCTGCAAAATACCTAAAATGTTGGCGATACCTTTATACAAATACATAAAAAACCAGTTTACTCACCAGCAATACGGAATACGAAAGTACTTCTTTTGCAAAATGCTAACTTAAATATGTGATCTTTAACTATATCGGGCGAAACTATACATGGGAGCTATATCTAGATCTGCACCGATTTCCACGAAACTTAGCACACGTCATTCTAGACAAAATTCAGTATACTATGCGAAAATTCGTGCAAATCTAATGATTTTCAGGGATTTTGGTGCACCATTCACCCAAAATCGGACGAAACTATATATGGGAGCTATATCTAAATCTGAACCGATTTTCACGAAACTTAGAACACATTATTAAAGACCTAATTCAGTAGGCTATACCAAATTTCGTGCAAATCGAAAGATATATAGGGACTTTGGTACACCATTTACCTTAAATCGGGCGAAACTATATATGGGAGCTATATCTATTTTCACGAAACTGCACACGTCATTTTAGATTAATTTAATACACTATGCCAAAATTCGTGCAAATCAAATGATTTTCACACATTGTCATTCTAGACCTATATCTAAATCTGAACATTTTTACGTAGCACACATCATTCTAGACTAACTCAGAAGGCCATAAAATTTCGTGCAAATCGAAAGATACATAGGGACTTTGGTACACTATTTACATTAAATTGGTCGAAACTATATATGGGAGCTATATCTAAATCTGAACCGATTTTCTCCAATTTCAATAGGGTTCGTCCTTGGGCCAAATAAGTGACATATACCAAATTCATCCAAATCGGATCATAAATGCGACCTGTACTTTGTTCACAAAAATACATTGACGGACGGAAGGACATGCGTAAATCGACTCAGAGAGCGATTCTAAGTATATTCTCAAAATTAACCATGGGTCTATCTCGATTAGTTTTGCCTGTTACAAACATATGCACAAAGACATAATACCCTGTACCACAGTGTGGTGAAGGGTATAAAAAATGGAACTGTGTTGAAAAATGTCTTCGAATAATTTTTTTACTCACCTACAATCGGTTTTTTTTTTTGCTCGTACTATCATCAAAATACATTTTTGACAGAACCTATAGGTGCTAGGTCTGAACATGAACATTTTCTGCAAAGCCAAGAACCCGGAAAGCCAAGTGAAACCATTTCGGATGAAAATTGCGGCAAGGCCTATTAAAGTATTCTAAAATGGGGACGGTTCGTTTTATATGGTGCTTTGTCACAGCGCGCATCTGTATTGAACGTTTTCTGCTCAGATGTTTTACTGTCACTTTAATTTTTATTTGTTGGAAAATATGACAAAAAAATTTAAACCATTGACCGATTTTCAAATTTTCAATACCAAATATTCTAAGAGCATTAGAAATTTAGGTGCCAAATTGAAAAAAATCACTATCTTAGATATTGCGAACTCTATGGTGATTTCAATAAACCTAAGGAGATGTTTAAATAGAATTTTATTGAGTTCTTACTCCTACAAAGACGTTATATATAGAAAAAATTTCAACTTCATTACACTAATGTGGATCTGTAACTTGTCGTGTGGTAGAGTATTTCAAGGAAGTCCCACAACAAAATTTTCTACTATATTTCATTTAGAAATGAACACAATCTTATTACATAATTTAGTTCTCATTCCAAGAAGTAGTTACATCAGTGTCCACAATGTGTTCAACACAAACACCGATCGCATCAACTTGCTGCGTTGCCAAATTTTGCTGCTCAAAGAACTTCTTGCGTAAATCCAACTTTAACTACTTTGCCAGTTTCTGTGTATATTTCCTAAAGTTTCACTAACGTTTCTTTATCTTTTTTTGTCCTTCCTTTCTTTCTTTTTTTTTTCCACCATTTTGGCTCTCTACTTGTTTACTTATCGTCTATTCAAACTTGACTGTAAGGATATGACAATGACAAGATGGTCTTCAGTTTCAGTGTGTGTGTGTGTGTGTATGTGTGACCGTTTCTGTATCATGCTGTGTTACAGCATTTGTGGCATTTCTCTTATATTGTCCCAATGCCAAGTTTGATTATTTATATGGGGCAACATTTGTCGTTTGCACAATCCCTCTAATGGATGTCACATGAAATTAGCACATGTGTCATAATTTATAATGCCATAATACAGGCAGATAGTTCGAGCAACAACAAGTCTGATGTGCTTGTATTGTAGTTCTCTGTGGTCATATGTTAATTGGTAAAATGGTAATTCAGATTATATTCCAACAATGCGAACACACAAAAAACACAAACACACACACAGACAATATCATGTTTCTAATTGAAGAGGACAAGTAGGAATAATTAAATGGAATTAAATTCGTAATGAAAACCATTGACTCCAAACAAATCCTGTATTTTTTTTATCAATACAAATTAAGGTGATTATTATAGGATTTATTTCGCCAAACCCAAATTGATTTTACAGCAATGTTTGGAAACGTAAATTAAGTCTAGCATTTTGTGTGATGTTCTCTGGAGGCTACCATATACTATATACGGACATTCACAGCGTCATTAGTACATCATATAAAGAAAATAAAGGAAACATTTTTATAGACACCGTTTTTAAGCTTTCCAATATTTCTATTTGGTGTCTGTATAATGGTGCTTGCTAATCGAAAGCACTTCTTGTCCTGATAATAATACAGAAGCACAGTGGCAAAGAATTGCCCACTCTCTTACAAACTGCAACAAAAGCAACACTTGGGTACAAAAGACCACCATGGTACGATCCGGAGTTTCGTAATGCTATTGAGGTAAAAACCCAGCTTATAGGGCAACCCTGCGAGAGTAACAATCCGCAATGCGAGTGAAAATTATATGGGGGAAAAGAAGAGGGGAAAAACGTATTTTCAAAAACGAAAGAAGAACAAGAAAACCGTGAGCGTGAGCAAATCGAGATGTATTGGAGTCAAAATGAAGTCCT